TTGATACAAGCTTGCCGTGCCCTCCGATCTCTCCACACGTCCTCAGCTAGACCCGCTTTCTCCCATGGAGGAGCATTGGGGTCTGTTTGACTCTTCGACCGGGATCCCCTAGGGCGTCTACCGGTCCCTTTACCTTTTTGTTGGGTTACGGCGGCGACTACTCCACCCTCTGAAGTATCGCCACCTGCCTCTGCACCTACTCCTAACTGGAAGTCGTTGTCCAACTCAATGGTTGAGCCATCGTGGTCAACCAACATAATGCGACCTTTCGCTTTCCAATTGGAGGGCAGTGTCTTCTTCTTCCCGTCTGTGACTGAGTTATGTCCATGCCCTATCTTTGCTTCTAGGTCTAGGGCCACCTTGCTGAACGAAGGAAAGTTGTGCATATTAATGTTGGCCTCTTTTGCCAACTGGTTCCTGAGCGGCAGAGATAAGGTCCTCAGGTACAAAGTTAGCAGGACCTGGGGGTCGTAGCGTACCCCTGGAACACAGATCAAACGCTCTACAGCGTCGGTGGCCTCCCTTACTGACTTAAACTGCCTCGTGTGCAGTGTCAGGATCGCATCAGTGGCCCTTTGAGCCTCCTGCGGATCATGCCACCTGTCTTCCACCATTTTCAGGAAGTCCTCCAATTTTTGAGAGGCTGCCCAAGAGCGGAAATCATGACCGTACCCCTGGAGTTGCACTAACCCACTCAACCATCTTGCCGCACTACCTTCTAGGTAGGAAGCAGCCACAAGCACTTCTTCGTGTGGCAAGGTGAGTTTACACCTGACGTAGACTGGCACCGCCCTCAACCAAGTGTCGAGGTCTTCGCCTCTCTTGTCTCCTGTAAAAGGTTTGGGAGCGGCGATGGCCGTCTTTGGAACCCACTTACTTTGTCCCGGTCCCTGCACCAACCCGGGCTGTGGACCCGKCGATACAGGTTGTTGTGCTAGATGCTGGGGCTGTGTGCCCTGAGGTTCCACTAACTGCGAGACAGYAGGCTGCGTGGTGACTGCAACCTGTGACGGACTTGGAGAAAACACTGTCTGAACAGGAACCTGCAAACTACTCCCTGCTGTTACCCCTCCTGACARAGGCATGCCCAGGGAAACGATAACAACCGATGAAGGGGCTACATATGGGGATACCCCAGTCACCGGTGGAACAGAAAGAGGAGGATATGGCACGGTCCAGGCACCAGGCCCTGCTGGTGATRRTGCTGCCTGAGCACGCCCTGCCAACACGRCTAGGCTTTGTTGAATGTCCTGAAGGATGGTAGTTTGATGCTCCTGCATCTCAATTACGCCTAGCAGGGCCCTCCTAACTACCTTCACATCCTCATCCATATGCATCAGGTCCATCGTCTCTAACTCCTCTATGTCTGTCCCTCTCTGTTGCATCCTGGCTCTTCTTCTAATCATCATATCTTTCTCTCTTTTTATCTTTCCTAATGCCTGCTGTAGTTGTGCCTCTTGTAGGGATGCCTGCTGGATGGCGACATCCTCTGGGAACAACATCCAGGGCTGGCTTGCCATTAAGCCAGTGGACTGACTCACGGTCTGCACGACCGTGGGCCCGGCGGTACCTGAACTTCCGGCTTGGGAAGTCATGGCTGTGGTAGCCATGGCTGCTATAGCACTAGCCTGTCTAGCAAATGCCCTGCTGGCCTCGGCTGCTCTRGCTCTCCTTTCCCTTTGTCGGTGGAACAGTTCCCTATCACCCGGTCCTAAAGACACATGGGATACCGGTCCTCTAGCCGATCGTAAAATCCTGCGGTCGTCCTCTCTGGTGTCCTCCACGTCGCTCATAGGCTACAGCACTGTGCACTGTCCACACTAGATCATTCTAGATGACCGCAGCTTAGTACACAGAGCAACTAATTATTGGTGGCTTTCAGAACAGATCTCATTTGGGGTCAACAGGTAAGTGAGGTTCCTATTGTCAATACTACTTTTAGCAAGATTAGTTCCCAAACAAAAAAAACATCAGGAATAAATAATATTCTAAACTAATGCTGTCTGTCAGATGTCACATGGCTGTCCATCTAACTAATCAATAATAAAAATAATGTTGACTGACCGGGTCTCTTCATAGCATGGAATTAACTCAAACTTATCACCTGGAACCTACCCCTCCCTTTGTTTTTCTCAATGTCTCGGTGTCACGTCCCTAAGCATCTGAAGCCAAGCGTGTCTGAAGGTGTGCAATCCGGTCCCACCCCTGTGCCCCGGGTTATCGTCGAGCAAGGCAGCCACAACACTCTTATTTACCCTCGTACGCCGACGACCCTTCCACTCGGATGATCTGGCTGATCAAGAGGCAATTTAACGTCCGCCCCCAAGTGACATCAGGAATTATTTTACGTCGCTGCAGGACGACGATCACAGCCAGATCAGAGCCGAGTCCCCAGCCAGAAATGTTTATAGACGGTCTGGTAAGCGTCTGTAGAGGCTGCCACACTCGAGTTAACCCCTAT